TTATATTTAGTTGATCTTAAAGGTGCCACTGGAGTTATTTAAAAAGATTTTTTCATCTTTCATCTTGTTATTTATTATAACTTCAGAAGCACAGGAACACAGGACGAAACAGAAGAAGCTACTACATTATACCAAGTCAGACCCTTGCATCATCTAGCTCACCACTGGTCTTCAACTGGTGGATCGGGACCTTAAGGATGTGGGTGGTGCTGTGGTCAAAACCACTGAGCATTTTGGGCTTCCCAATGAGGAGGTCCGTGGTTGCTCTGCCCCAGCTTCTGCCAACCTAGCAGTTTGAAAGCACACCAGTGCACGTAGATAAATAGGTACCGCTTCGGCGGGAAGCTAAATGGCGTTTCCGTGTCCTCTGGTTTTCGTCACGGTGTTCTGTGGCGCCAGAAGTGGTTTAGTCATGCTGGCCACATGGCCTGGAAAACTGTCTGTGGACAAACACCGGCTCCCTTGGCCTGAAAGTGAGATGAGCGCCGCAACCCCATAGTCGCCTTTGACTGGACTTAACTGTCCAGGGGTCCTTTACCTTTTTACTTTACCATTAGTGGGTTGCAACAGGAGCACTGCCACCATGCAAAGAGTAAGAAATGGGTCCCCCAGTGCATGTTTGGGTTAAAATATGGGACTGGGTCTGGCAATGTTGAAGAGTTGGACTGGCTTGCAGGAAAGGTCCAGGGTTTCCGACAAGGGTCTGAACCTCAGACCTTCTGCATCCAAAGCATGTGCTCTTCCTGAGTTTTCTTCCTACCTTATTGCGGAATAAGGTGCCATTCTGCACACCCACTGTCGGCACATGTCATTGACCTGCATATGTCAATTCGCAAGTCCCCCAGAGTACAACAGAACTTCCTGCCAGGCAAGTGAGTATCACGTTGCAGTCTAATTGCTTTCCAGGTGCTTTCCTAGAAGCCATGGGCAAATCATGTAAATGCATTGCAGCATCTGCCAGCCTAATATATAGTTGTGTGGCTTTAGATTTCAGCAATTCACTTACCTGAACCTTAAAGAATCTCAGGCATCTGCCTCTCCCAATTATCCCTGGTACACAAGGAAGATACACAACCACCCTCTGCAGCTGTTTTATAATGTGTAGCATTGGGAACATAACCATATTTTTCCGTGTATAACAAAACCCCTATTTTTGGGGACTCAAAAATTATGAAAATGGGAGATGACGCCTGTGTATAAGATGACCCCTGTTTTTTAACATTAGAGTAAAAAAAACCCTAGTCTTATACACAGAAAAGTACAGTACAGTGGGCGCTCAGGTTGCGAACGTGATCCGTGCGGGAGGCAGGTTCACAATCCGCAGCATTCACAACCCGCAGGTTGCGATTCGGCGCTTCTGCGCAAAGCATGGTTTAGTGCTTCTGCGCATGCTCGAGCACCGAAACCCTGAAGTAACCTGTTCCGGTACTTCTGGGTTTCAGCGCATCAACGCGCAACCTGAAGCATCTGTAACCTGAGGTATGACTGTAGTCTGATTTAGGATAAGGCAGCGTATTTGCCCATCTAGGCCAGATTTTTCTACCCGGGCTGACAGTGTTTCTCCAGGCAAAGGTCTTTTTTGCACTGATGCCACCTTCTCCTTTTAACTGAAGATACCAGAGGCTGGACCTGGGAACTTCTGCATGCGAGCATGTGCTCTACCACTAAGCTATCATCCCTCCAGTTATTCATGCTCCAGATCAAACTTCCATTCCCCTTTGCAAATAATGGTCACATCTACACTATACAGCAGGTGTGGGGAACCTTTGGGCCCAAAATAGCTGGACTAAAACTCGCATCAGCCACAGAAAGCACAGCTGATAGCCAGGAGTGAAGTGACAGGAGTTGTGGATCAGCAATATCAGGAGAGCCGAAGATTATCCATACCTGCCAGACAGCTTTCTGCAACCTAGTGCCCTCCAAATGTTTTGTATGGCAACTCCAACAAGTCCCAACCAGCATGGCTGGGGAAGGCTACATCTCAGCTTCTGTCCAAGAGTTCATGCTCCCAGGCCACAGAGTCATAGACCATATTTGCATCATACATTCAAAGCACCATAATACCACTTTGAACAGTCGTGGCTTCCCCCCAAGAATTCTGGGAGCTGCAGTTTGTTAAGGGCGCTGAGAGTTGTTAGGAGACCCCAGTTCCCCTCACAGAGCTACAAATTCTTAAGAATGGTTTAATGAACCCTCTGCAATTGCGAGAACCCCCTGTCTGAAACCCTGGGGAGAGCTGATGCCAACTAGGCAATACTGAACTAACAATAATAACCCTGCCCATCCGACTGGGTTGCCCCAGCCACTCTGGGCAAGTTCCAGCATATCCAAAAACATAATAAAACATTAAAAGCTTCCCTATACAGGACTGCTTTCAGGTGTCTTCTAAAGGTAGTCACTTATCTCCTTGATAGCAGATGGGACGGTGTTCCACAGGGTGGGCACCACTACCGAGAAGGCCCTCTGCCTGGCTCCCTGTAACTAGATGAGCCAATGGTCTGAGGTAGTACAAGCCTATGAAGGGGAGTCTTACCCATAGAGGCTAGTGGCACAGGGTGCCAGGGCGCCAAGTTCTGGAGGGCGTCAGGGAAGAGGCGGAGGCTGGATGTGATGCCTCCCAGCATCAGCTTGCCACCGCGCCTGCCTCCGCCATGCTGCGCTGAAGCAGCGCCATGCCCAGAGCCTCCACCTGCCATGGCCACCACGGCACGAAGCAGCCAGCTGAGCCAGGAGCCGCCGTGTCCAGCCTCCACCTCTTCCCCTCCGGAGGAGCTGCCCAGCCTCCAGCACTGGCAGAGGAAGAGGAATGGGGGGGAGGTGCCAGGGTGCCATCGTGGCTGCCCCCCGCCTGCGCTGGGCACCCCACCCCTGCAAGCAGTGCACCACACCCCCAGGACGCACGTCCTGCCCCTGCGGGTAGTGCACCCCGCCCCACCTACTCTCCCCCCCCCCCGGTGCCAGTGCATGAAGCTCTGCCACTGCCCTCCAGCTGCTGCCCGCCTCCCCCAGCTCCGCAAAGCTGGGCTTGTCGCCAGCAGTGCCATCCTCCCTAAAAAAGGTCGCCAACTCTGGGAAAGGGAGGTGTGCCAGAGGGATCTTTGCAGCATGGCACCAGATATGCTTAAGATGGCCCTGAGCCCATGTCCTACGTTCCTGTGACCAGGCAGCAGATTATGGGAAACGTGTGTGCTTTGAGAACAGGAGCTGCCAGTTGAAGTATTGCAGGTGTTGGACCAGTGGCCTTGTGACTATGCAGAAGGTAGCTCTGTGTATTTGTGCAACATGCCCATCGTGGGTGGCACTGCGGTCTAATCCACTGAGCCTCTTGGGGTTGCCAATCGGAAGGTCGGCGGTTCGAATCCGCGTGACGGGGATGAGCTCCTGTGGCTCTGTCCCAGTTTCTGGCAACTAGAAGTTCGAAAGCACACCAGGGCAAGTAGATAAATAGGTACAGCTGCGGCAGGAAGGTAAACGGTGTTTCCGTGCGCTCTGACACTCCTCACGGTCCTCCGTGTGTCACTAGCAGTTTAGTCACGCTGGCCACATGACCTGGAAAGCTGTCTGTGGACAGTGGCAGAGCTTCATGCTCCGGCACCAGGGGGCGGAGAGCAGGCGGGGGCGGGGCTGGCGGGTGTCTGGGGGCGTGGCACGTCGCCCGCAGATGCATGGCGCGCGTCCTGGGGGTGTGGCACACCGCCTGCCAGGCCTGGTGCCCAGCGCAGGCAGGGGGGACAGCCGCGATGGTGCCACACCATCTTCCTCCGCCAGTGTCTGTGCACAAATGCCGGCTCTCTCAACCCGAGAAGCAAGATGAGTGCCACACCCTACAGCCAAATTCGACTGAACCACCCAGGGGTTCTTTACCTTTTACCCTAACAGATCAACCTGGAGCTAGCATGAGTTCACTGAACTTTTATATAGTTTTGGGCACAGTGAGCAAATGTCCTAGGCTTCTTGGGTTAAGAGAAAGCTGCCAACTAGGAATACGATTATTTAGACCTGGAGGAAGTGAGGGGGGACGTAAATACCCACACGCAGCAGCAGCAGCAGGCAGCCTCCTATCTAGTAGCTTCGCCTCCAGCCTTCAGCCAACAGCTACCCCTAGTGGTTGCTCCCCCAAAAAGCCACCTTGCGGTTTTAACTCTTAACTCTTGTGGATTTCGCTCCGGTCAACAGGTTTAATGCTGGAGCGGCACCGAGAGGTCACTAACCAAGCATTAACCCCTTTCCTGCCGGGATCAGGGCTGTCGGCCGCCACCCTGAAGGCTGAGAGCAAGCGGCGCCTGAAGGCGGAAAGAGCACGGGAGAGATCGCTTGCAATAAAAAATAAAAAATGAGGAGACAACTCGGGAACGACACGGTAAACCCCACCGCCACCCGCTTTTCTTAAGTAATTGGTCTTTTTAGCGTTCTTCGGGCTTGCAATGTTTGCCGGCAAAATAGGGAGGCGAGGGGCAGTTTGCGGCGCTCTAAGGGGCGGGGGAATGGGGCTGCGGAAAGTTTGTCGGCTGCTGCTGAACGGCTGTCGCTTTGGGTCCCGCGGTCGGCGGGGGGGTAAAAGGATGGAGAAAACTCTCGGCGTCGGAACTCGGCTTCCCCGCCTCGCGTGGACGGCACGCCGGGGAGACACAGAGGGAGGCGACAGAGGGGGGCAAACTTGGCCGAGTTGGCTCGCTTGCAGCGCGGGGAGCCGCTTCCCGTAACCCAGCCAGCGCCTCTCTCGGAGGGGGGGGGGTCTGCGTCCGCTGCCCTCGCGCCCTGCCTGGGGCTGATCCGCCTCCCCATACGGGTCGGACCGCGAACGGGGGTCCCTCTCGGGTGCCTGTGGCGCCGCTTTCCTCCCGGCGCGCCCGGCCTGCCCTCTTCCCCCGAGAAGCCCCTGAGCGGGCGGGCGAGCGGGCGTCTGGCTTGCCTGGCGGCGGCTGCTCCCTGCGCGCTGGCACGTCCCGCCGGCTTCCTGGCCCAGTCGGATCCGGCTCTTCCTCCTCCTCCTCCTCCTCTTCCTCCTCCCTCCCTCCCATGCCAGCCCCCACCCCCTCTCCTCCCGCGCGCCTTTCCTTTTTCTTTCTCTTCTTCCTCTCTTGGCCACCATATTTTTAGGTCACTGGACTGGAGGGGTAGGTAATCCCCAGGCTCAAGTTCCAAAGGGGGCGGGTTCTGGCCGGAGGTGGAGTCACTTTTTCATTTAAATCCCCGACTATAAAATGGGCTTAAGGAGAAGCGGGATCTCAGCGGCTAAGCCACCCGGAGGAGTGGCGGCACGAGGGAGAGGCGGCGTGGCGGCGAGGGGCTCCGGGCGGCTTGCGCGCCCCTGGCCGTAGCCGCGGCTCCGGCGATGCTGCACTCCATGGGCGCCCACACCTTGCAAGCGCTCAGCCAGGTGGCCGCCTGCGTGCTGCTCCTGCCGCGCTTCCTCCTGACAGCCGTGATGCTCTGGCTCCTCGATTTCCTCTGCATTCGCAAGAAGCTCTTGCTGACCACGCCGCCGGCGGTGGCCGGAGAGGCGTCGGCGTCGTCGGAAGAAGAAGAAGAGGAGGAGGCGAGCTGCTCCTCGGGGCCCCCTCCGGACGACCCTCCGCTGTGCGTCTCCGACTCGAACCGCATGTTCACGCTGGAGTCGCTCAAGGCGGTGTGGCACGGCCAGAAGCTGGACTTCTTCAAGGCGGCGCACGTGGGCGCGGCGGCGCCCAACCCGGAGGTGATCCAGCTGGACGGGCGCACGCGGCTGCGCATCCTCGACTACGCGCGGGGCAAGCGGCCGCTGATCCTCAACTTCGGCAGCTGCACCTGACCGCCCTTCATGGCGCGCCTGCGCGCTTTCGAGAGCCTGGCCGCGCGCTTCGTGGACGTCGCCGACTTCCTGCTGGTGTACATCGAGGAGGCGCACCCTTCGGACGGCTGGGTCAGCTCGGACGCCGCCTACGACATCCCCAAGCACCAGTGCCTCCAGGACAGGCTGCGCGCGGCGCAGCTCATGCAGGAAGGCGCGCCGGGCTGCCCGCTCGCCGTCGACACCATGGACAATGCCTCGAGCGCCGCCTACGGGGCGTACTTCGAGCGCCTCTACATCATCCAGGAGCAAAAGGTGATGTACCAAGGGGGCCGAGGGCCCGAGGGCTACAAGATCTCCGAACTCAGGCGCTGGCTCGACCAGTACAAGCGCCGCCTCCAGGGGGGACCCAGCACGGTGGTCGTCCAGGTGTAGGAAGGGGCTGCAGGCGGCGGGATATAGGGTGGGAGACCCTCCGACCAGGAGGAGAGAGGTGTCTCCCATTTTCCTCGAACTCGCGACTCCCCAAAGGCTTCTGCGTGAGTTTTCATGCAAGACGTGCCCCGTGACTCTTTCCACTATTCGAATCATGTTGATTTGCCGAGCATTTGTTTATTAACATTCATTTCTACGTGCGGTTTTAATTTTTTTTCCTTTTTAAAAAAACAACAACACAACAACAAATAAATTGCGTGGGTGGATGACTAGATCTCTCTTTTGTGTGGGGGGAGAAAAGTAGCGTTTACTACTTGGGTGGAAGTTTCTGGGTGTCTGTGCAACCTGATGAGTGCATATTTGGTTAAGTGTGCCGATAGGATTGCAACCTGAGTGCGCGCAACACGCGCTGTTTGTTTGTTTGTTTGTTTGTTTGTTGTTTGTTTGTTTGTGTCTGGGTGTATGTTCCGGCGGGATCCGAGTTCTGCCTCGCACGTGTGTCATGTTGTCTAGGGCAAAGTTTCCTCTGCGCCCGAGTGATCTTCCGCCGTCCTAGCAAAACTCTTCGCTGGGATTTCTAATGTTTCTGTGTGATGACCGGTTTCGAAATGGTGATCCCGATGCCAGGAAATCGCGTCTGATGATCTGAAATATTAGAATGACCAGTTTAAAACAAAAGCAAAAAAAAGAAAAGAAAAGAATGTTTATTTATGTGACCTCTCCGTTTGTTGTACTTTTCCTTTTTTTTGTAAAACGTCCATTTTTTATGAACTTTTTATAACATTATTAATAAAGATTATTGAGTAAAAGACGTGCCTGATTTGGATCTTTCTAACTGAAATGTAAGAGTGTGCAAAACGCCTCCTCTCTGTTGTTGTTCTTCTGTCTCCTGGGTCACATGGCTTCCTCCCAAAATCCTGGGAACTGTAGTTTGTTACAGAGTGCTGGGAATTGTAGCTCGGTGGGGGAGCAAACTACAATTCCCAAGATTCTTTGGGGTAAGCCATGACTGTGTGGATGTGACCCTGAACAAAGCACAGAGCCCTGCTCTAAAGTGCAGTCCGCTCCTTGCGTTTAGCTGGGCGGGGTATGTTTTTAAATGGGTGCCCTGAGAGTTACTCTTTGGATGTCTCAGTCCTGAAAATGTTTGTGCATGGATGGAAGAGCCTTTCGCTCCAGCCAGCATGGCTGACGGTGCTATGGGATGAGGGCAGTGGTAGCCCTCCAGCCACATCTAGATGTCCAATGCTTCTTCATTCCTGGTCCCAGAAAATGAGACTATTATTAGTTTGTATCTGACCAAGTCATACTCAAAAGGTGACCCAAGTAAAGTGACCTGAGTACATTCAATTCAGTGTCAGTGCTCTGAGCATGACTGGCCAGATACAACGCTTACTGATTTCTCAGGAACCTGATTCCTGATCACATGTGTGCTTAGAATCAATGCTTAAATTACAGAGGGGGTCTGGACCCCTAAACACTTGCGAGGACTCCCTTATATACTGTTTTTAGAAAGCTATGGGAGATGAGAGAAGGTCAGGGGCTTGGGCTTGTGGATTTCATTAAACCTCCCATCTTTCCATTCAAACATGGGCAAATGTCCACACATCTACAAGGCTATAACCCCCCTGCTACACACTTCAGGACCCCTCAACAAAGCAGCTTGAGACTGAGCAGTAATTGTATCTGAGGGACGGTGTCCCATTGGTGGACAACATAATGTCCTCTCCTCCCCATGCACCCCTAAAATCTGATTTGGGCATTCTCCCCCCCCCCAGTAAATCTTCCCCTGTCGCCTCTGCCCAGCAGATTTCCAAGCAGATCAAGGGGAGGGGAAGAACTGTGGATGCAGCCTGCTCCATCCAGGGTGGTTTATTCCCAAGTAAGTATGCATAACAGTGAAGAATATGACAGACTAAGTCTGCCTAGACAGCTGCATGATGCTGATAATGCCAAGGTTGCAGGTTTGATCCCTGTATGGGACAACTGCATATTCCTGCACTGCAGGGGGTTGGGTGATCTAGATTCTATGCATTAGGGAGTTGCTACACAGAGCTTTTCAGGTCACCCACAAAGACACACATTGCATGGGATCCATCTCTTGAGGGGTCGTCAGCCTTGAACCATTCCAATCTCAAGCCTTGTTGGACTCCAAAGCAAAGGGAGCGGTCCTTTTCCAAACCAATGGGCTACAGTGTCTTTATATCAAAAACACAGAAGCACCCTGTAATAACAACATAAAGACAGCTCTGCTGGATCGGAACAATAGCTCATCTAGTCCAGCATCTGGTTCCAACTGCAGCCAATCAGATGCCTATGGAAAGCTGTATCTGTGCAATAGCCCTCTCCCCGGCAACTGGTATTCAGAGGCATACCAGCTCTTGAGGTAGCACACAAGTATCACAGCTAATATTTTGAACCAACTGAAATTTCTATGTTCATCAGAAGAGCCCTGCTGGATCTAGTTCAGATGCATCTGAAGGACCAAAGTTTCCCCTGTTTGAAGTAATGAATGGGATGTGCTCAAAAAAGTCGACTAGATGATCCTCAGGGTCCCTTCCATCTCTATAATTCTTTGATTAAATTAATTGTATCCCACAACTCTGTACATGACCTCCACTGAGGTCAATGAGTTGTTTAGTCGTTCAGTCGTGTCCGACTCTTCGTGACCCCATGGACCAGAGCACGCCAGGCCCTCCTGTCTTCCACTGCCTCCCGCAGCTTGGTCAAACTCATGGTTGGTAGCTTCGAGAACACTGTCCAACCATCTCGTCCTCTGTCGTCCCCTTCTCCTTGTGCCCTCCATCTTTCCCAACATCAGGGTCTTTTCCAGGGAGTCTTCTCTTCTCATGAGGTGGCCAAAGTATTGGAGTCTCAGCTTCAGGATCTGTCCTTCCAGTGAGCACTCAGGGCTGATTTCCTTCAGAATGGATAGGTTTGATAATAAAAGCATCAATTCTTTGGTGATCAGCCTCCTTTATGGTCCAGCTCTCACTTCCATACATCACTACTGGGAAAACCATAGAGCAGCAACCAGCAAGCTACTCCAGTATCTCTGCCAAGAAAACTCCATGGACAAAGACAGAGGTCAATGAGAGTCACCCTCAAATACATGTACAATTGTAGGAAAAGGGATGGGGGAACTGTAGCCCTCCAGATGTGGCTGGACTCCAACTCCCATAATCTCTATCCACCATGGTCAATGCCCAGGGTTGATGGGAGTTGGAGTCCTGCAATAACTGGAGGGGGACACAGGTTACCCGCCCCCCTTGCTCCAATGCTTTTCGGACAGAAGTGCTTACAAACACCTGCCTTCCTTGCTGTAACTTTCCACATCCCCACAAGCAAGTCTGCCTTGCGCTAAACATTGTGACCTGCAATAACCCAGAGGGTCAACCTCTTACAGCTGAGCAGAAAACTCTTATCTGTAGCTGTTTCTTCATTATTTGCATGGCTCCTTGATAATTTTATTTGAACAAGGAGGGATTACTCGAGACCAAACAATTGCTCATTTTGTTTACTAATTTATTTCACAAACACACAGTGTACCCCCCTTTTTTTGCCATCCCTGCAAGTGAATAGGTTCACTTACCTCATTTAGTTGTAAGGGACATGCATTCCCAACAGTGATGGTAGCTTACATGGCTGCCCAGTGCTGTAAATCTGGTGGGCCAATCAACATTGGTGCATAGTACCAAGCCAAAAATTGGTCAGGCCACCAACCTTCATCGGATTCCAGTATGGGTTCGATTTTGAAGAAATTTTGGTTGCTCAGTAGCAACCAAGTGGGTTAAACCACAGAGCCTAGGACTTGCCGATCAGAAGGTCGGCGGTTCGAATCCCCGCAATGGGGTGAGCTCCCGTTGCTCGGTCCCTGCTCCTGCCAACCTAGCAGTTCAAAAGCACGTCAAAAGTGCAAGTAGATAAATAGGTATCGCTCCAGCGAGAAGGTAAACGGCGTTTCCGTGCGCTGCTCTGGTTCGCCAGAAGTGGCTTAGTCATGCTGGCCACATGACCCGGAAGCTGTACGCCGGCTCCCTCGGCCAATAAAGCGAGATGAGCGCCGCAACCCCAGAGTCGGTCACGACTGGACCTGATGGTCAGGGGTCCCTTTACCTTTTAACCAAGTGGAATAGGGAGTAAGGTCACACACACAAAAATACCACAGACTTCTGAGTGTAACTGAAACAAGTCATTGGTTTATTGATATACAAAGCTCAACAGAATGAAACTGCATGAAAATGATATGAAATAGAACGATATCGAACTTAGATAGAAACGTGAATCTATAAGAACTAAAATAAAACATGATAAGATTGAAAGCAAGTTAAAGCAACTGAATATATTGCATGGGATCTGATAAGTAGCTTTGACAAAGCAATCTAATCAAAGTAAATGAGATAACTCTTAACTCCCCGCCCCCCATTTAGTTGTGAAACAAAGACTCCCTAGATATCAGATCAACAAAACTGCACAGTTACCACTATTAGGGCAATAGGCTGGACCTCAGATACAGCAAAGCACACAAAGCAAGGCAGATCACAGGGAGCAAGAAAGAAAATGCCCCCAGCCCCAAAAAAGAAGACCCACCTACAACATCTGTGTACAGCTTTTATATCATTCAGCAACAAGACCTATCCGTTGGGTTTGGGGTTAATTTTACAGTTCATGCAATTGGCACTTCTTCTGCCATGCCTTGAATCAAAGTTAGAATCAAGTGCAAAAAAACTGTCATGTGCAGTTACTGACTTGATGATTCTTGTTAGGAATGTGTAAGTCATATCTCAGTATTGTCAGCACTGACTGGCAGCAGCTCTCTGGCGTTTCAGCCCAGGAATGTTCTTAGCTCTACCTGGAGGTGCCAGGGATTGTTTAATGTTTCATTGTGTTTTCCTATTTTGTTGGGAGCTGCCCAGAAGATCTGCAGCAGGGGTCAGCAATCCTTTTCAGCAGGGGGCCAGTCCACTGTCCCTCAGACCTTGTGGGGGGCCGGACTACAGTGGTACCTTGGGTTAAGTATTTAATTCGTTCTGGAGGCCTGTTCTTATCCTGAAACTGTTCTTAACCTGAAGCACCACTTTAGCTAATGGGGCCTCCTGCTGCCACCGCCGCGTGATTTCTGTTCTCATCCTGAAGCAAAGTTCTTAACCCAAGGTAATATTTCTGGGTTAGTGGAGTCTGTAACCTGAAGTGTATGTAACCCAAGGTACCACTGTATATTTTTGGGGGGG